GGCCCCGCGGGGGGAGGGTGGAAGGGAGGGACTGGTGGGGACAGGCAGAGCACACAGCTCGGTACAGGCTGCCCCAAGAGTCACTCCGCGAGCACCGCTGACCGAGCAAAGCACGGCACGGGCCCCGCGCCACCGCCGCGCCACCGCCCCCTCACAGGCAGTCGCATTCCACTCGGACTGTACCAACATGGCGGCGCAGCGCGCAGCAAGGCGCCGAGTCGAGTGGAGCGGGTCCGGGCCGGCAGGGCCCGCGGGGAGGGAGGTGCCGAGCGGTGAACCAGCGGGGCTATGCGGGTCCTCGAAGCGTCCTGGCGGGGCGTGGCGAGAGGCGCGGGGAAGGGCGCAGGAGCAGCCGCCACTCCGCGCCTCGCCCGACAATGTCGCATCGCGATCCGTGACGACTGCCACCACGCCCCACGCAGCCCCACGCCCCGCGGCCCCCGCGGCCCAGGCCGCGACTATCAGCTGCCTGCCGCGCACCGCCGCGCCGCGGTCGACGTGACGTAGCGCGTCGCCTAGGCCGATCGGCCAGCCTTTATCGCGCAAACGTCACGACGCGGCGTCGAGCACCGCGTCGAGCACCGCGTCGAGGGACAGACGACGCCGGCCATTTAAACTACCGCGCCGCAGAGGATCATGCCGGGGCTAGCCTATCATGTTGATGCAGACGGACACAGTGACTGCACCCGATACCCGATGCTTTCACACTCACGCGCGAGGCCGCCGTCCGGCTGGTCCTGGAGGGAGAGGCACAGGTCCTGGGGTCGCGCGGCTCGTGGCTCGCGGAAGGCTCGCGGCGCAGAGGATGACGTCCTGGCCCCGCTCCGCCGCTCCGCGCTCGACGCTCCGCCTTTGCAGCTCGGCCCGTCCAGCCTTTGCAGCTCCGGCCCGCTACGCTATGCCACGCTGCATACCACGCCTTGCCACGCTACACCACGCCAAACCGAGACATCTGCAAGACTGCCGGCAGGGGGCAGAGGGGGAGACGCGGTGAAGGGCCGAGAGGGGAAGGGGGGGGGAAGGAGGGGAAATTCAGGCAAGGGGAAAAGGAGGAGAGTGGTGAAATGCGGGGGAGGGGTGCGGCGGGGAGGGTAGGGTGGCGAGGGGGAGTGGGAGGGGAGGGGAGGCAAGACGATCGATCAGCACACGCGGAAATGTAGGCTACTCCCAAACAGTGGACGGGCCGGGCCTGCGTCGCCCTGCGCAGCCCTGCTGGGCCCTGCGCGCTTAGAGCTCAGCCAAGCCCAGCATTGCCCAGGCAGGGCGGCAGGCAGGGCGGCAGGCAGCAGGGAGGGTTGGGCAATGGGCGGGCGTCCCGTGCGGCAACGTGTCCTGCCTTGTGTTCTGGTACATTCCGCGCCGCTCCGCCGCTCCGCCGCTCCTCAGAGCCCCGCGGACTGGCCGACCCTGCCGCTGCGCTGCACCGCGGCGCCACTCCGCGCTCCGCGTCCCCTTGGCTTCCTGGCCACTGTCATGGCGGCCGCTCATGGCGCCGCGGTGCAGCGGCCCGCTAGATACGGTGTGCACAGTGTACACGCCCTTCCGCTTACCAGCCCAGGGTTCTCAAGGCGCAGCACCGCCAACCAGCGCAACCCCTTCAACCTGTAGACTCGGTCTACCAGACTGCACGTCGAGCCAACATCACACCTCGGCCACGGCGTTGGCACCACTGCGAGGTCCCGGCCCTCGGGGCTTCAGGGCTCCCGCAGCGCTGCGCTACGCCCATGGCTACGCCCCGTGCACCGGCAGAGAGCTGCTCTCCCAAAAGCTGCCATCTCCGCCAAACTGCCAACCAGCCCGGTCAACCTACCGCAAACCGGAGCGGCAGCGCGGCGAAGGGCGGGGCGGGGCGGGACGGTCGATGCGGAGGGCGAGAGGGGAGGTGAAGGGGGAGGTGAAGGGGAGGGGAGAGGAAGGGGTGGCGAGGCACGCCACGCAGGGCTGCGCAGGGCACGACTTAGTGTGGGGCTGGGTGTGGTGTGGTGTGCCAACAGCGCCACGGACACCCGGCCAGGCAGGACATCAAGAGGCTCGAAGAGGGCCCAGCCCAAGGCAAGCCCACGGCGAGCCCAAGGCAACACGAACCTCGCGGAGGGCGGGCCGGGGCGAGCCGGGGCGTGCCGCCCCCACGCCGCCACCCCTAGAGAGCCTCGCCGAACCGCGCCGCCGAACGCCCCTCCAGATCCTACACTCCTTTACCTCGGGGATGGGATGGGGGCGTCGCGGGAGTCAGGCGTCGCATCCTGTTAGGCGGGCGGTGTGCTGGGACTGCTGGGCGTCGCGTAGCGTCGCGTCGCGGCACCCGCGGGAAGAAGGGAAGGAAGGAGAGAGGGGGAGGGGTGACAGCGAACAGAGCAGCCCCGCCGCATCCCCTTCCCCGTGCAATCTGGCAACCCCGCGTCAAGCACTGGGGGTGCCCGGGGCCCAGCGCGGGGCCCGGCCCGGGGTGCCCCATATCCGTGGGGGCACTCGGTTCCCGCAACACATTCGGTCGGCACGGCGACGAGCGAGCAAGCGACGCCGTCGTCGAGGCGGGCCTGCCCGGCCTAGGCCCTTCCGGCCGCCATGGCGCCGCCGCCAACCCCACATGCAGCGCAGGTCCCAGTTATCTGCACACGGCTTCGCAGAAGGGGTGCGAGGTGACGTTTTCTAAAGATCGGCCCCGGACATGAGGACACGGGAAAACGCGGGATGGCAAACACATAGGACGTGGGGCTTTGGTCCTCGGCGCCGCGCACCCCGGCCCTTGAGCCCAACCCGTCCTTATCGCGGGCCTCACCCCGAAGGCCTTCCCCTTCCGCACTCACGGCACCCGCCCAGCGCGCCCAGCCGTGGCACGGGAGTCTGGGCCCCACGCCGCTACAGCGCTACAGCGCGCCGCGGCCAGCACGGGGCGCCCTACGGCCCTAACCCCGAGCCCTGAGCCCTGGCTAGGCAGCAAGGCACGGCCGGCACGGCCAGCACGGCCCCGCCGAGGTCGGCCGAGGCCACACCTTATCCCGTCCGTCCTCAAAGGAGGATGCGGCGATCCGCGGGGCCGTGGGGGCCGTAGCAGAGCACCGCCAGCTCACACGCCGCCACCGTCCAAGAGCGCCGGAGCAGCGCGTCACAAAAACGTGTCACCGCCGTCTCTTCGCAAAGTTAACATTTATCTTATCAATCTGGCAAAGCAGCGTGTACTGCGGGGCGTATGTCGGGAGGGGGGGGGGGGGCACAATGCGACACAGGGAGGGACCGGGCCGCAACCACGAGGCGGAAACGGGCAGGGGGGCCGTCCCGCTGCGACGCAGTTCCGATCGAGGCCCCTTTCGAGCCTGCTCGCGGACACGCGGACTTGGCCGCCGGAAAACCGGAACGCGAGTCAACGGCCAGCCGACGAAAAGGGGGGAGGGGGACGGGGAAAGGAGGGAGGTGCTGAGCAGGCACCAAGCAAAACCCACGCAACCCGCGATGCACCTCCGCCAGATACTCCTTTGCCGCCGGGCCCCAAAAATAAAACTTTTCCCCTCGAGCGGCGGAGGCCGGAGGCACACAGCGGCACAGCCAGACATCGATTCCTAACCTAAAGCGCTCCAGCGCCTTGCGAGTGCCGGAGTGCCACGACACCGCACGCCGATCGCACCAACCCGCGCGCTGCAAGTGCGAGAGAGAGCGAGAGCGCGGCGCCACGCGGCGGCATTACGTTGGACTGCAGCGCTTCGCGGCGCGGCTTCGCGGCCAGGCCTGGGCCGGGCTCGGCAGCCATGGCGGCGCGGCCACGGCGCGCGGCCCGTGCGGGGGGCGCCGTGGAGCTAGGCAGTCCCGCTGCGCTCGCCTGGCGGCCGGGTTGCGGGGCTCGCGCCTCGGCCCGAGTCGCTGGGTTGGGCTGAGCTGGGCTGGGCTCTGCTCGCTCGCACTGGCTGGCCCGCTGCTTGTGTGTGAGAGTCTGAGAGTGTGTGTGTGAGAGAGCGCGTGTTTGTGTGAGTGCTGTCGGGGACGCGCCGCACCGCGCCGCACCGCGCAGACTTGCGCCGCACTGGGGCAGGGCGGGCGGGGCAGGGCGCCCTCACTCTGCGTAGCAGCAGCCATGCCCTGCCGTGTGCCGTGCCGTGCCCGCTGTGCCCCGCCCGGCTCGCCACGGCCCGGTTCGGTTCGACTCGAGCTTCATGGGGGCCGAGGCGTAAATCACCAAAAGCCCCTTCACGCCACCAGCATCCCGCCGCCGCGGTTTGCCTCCTTCAGCACGTCCTCGTGGTCCTATCCCTGCAGCACGTCCTCGGCGGCGGCGGCACGGCGATGTCCCCTCCTCTGGCACGTCTTGGTCGCCGCCACCGTCACCTCGGGGTCCTTCCCCGTCGTCAAGTTACAGAGGCCGGGCCGTGGCAGGCCCGCCTGCAGCAGCTGGGCCTCGCACTCCGGATAACGCCCCAGGGCGGAAGCAGAGTGGACTCACGATCCGAAAAGGAAAGGCAGGGACCGCGGCCGCGCGCGGACGGCAAAATACGCACCCGGGCACCACTTGGCATCGACCCAGTGTCACTCCACTCGGCAGCCGCACCAGCCGCACAGGCAGGCGGACAGACAGGCAGTCGCTAAACTTCGGCGAGCAGACAGCTTCGCGGCTTCGCGGCTCAAACCGTGCTTTACGCTGCGGCCCTGGCCACGCACTGACGTCATTGAACGAACGAAAAGCTCGCGGGGGAGAAGGGGGACGCATGCATGCGCGCAGCACCGCGTCGGAGAAGGCGTGCAAGACGAGGTCCCCATGATGGCTGCATGATGCGATGTAGGATCACGTGACCTAGAAGTGGGAGGGGAGAAGGGGGAGGGGGGGGTTGCTGAGTCAACGCGACATCGTCCACCGCCCCGCCCTGTCCGGCGGGCGGACCTGGCAACCTGGCGTGGACCTAACATGGCCAGCCAGCGTATACCCGTACAGGCCGCTTCAGAGCCTCGGCAGCGTCTTTGCCGCCGGCTACCGAATCGATCCACGACGAGTCTGCAAAACGAACAGCACCCACCTTGGCCCCGGTGAAACGCATTTCCAAGAGTTCCTGCTTGCGAGGGTCCAGCGCCGGTTGGAAGTGCTCCATTTTCACGACAGCGCCTGCAAACACAGTGCCAACATGAGCAGACCGAAACCACCCCCTCGAGGACGTCGTCGTCGAGCCCCCGCATCGTGTGCACGTCGACGGCCCATCCGAAACCATCAAGGCCCCTTCAGGAACACTATCCCCATGCTTGCGCGCTCGCTTTCCCGAAGCCGGCGAAGCCGTCCCGGTCAAGGAGCGCTTCCGCGTAGTAGGCGCGTACATACGTCCACAGCAGCGCCAGCAACGCAAGCAGTAAGGGCATCATGCCCTGGGCATGCCGCGTGGCCCTTGGCGTGGCCGCGTGCCGACCCGGCCCGACAAAGAGCAAACCCGCAACGTGAGTCACGCGCTTCTGCGACGACCCGCGAAATGGAGACGCGTTATCAACGCACGGCCGGGCACCGCACTGCTAGCGCAGCTAGCGCACTGCGCACGCGGTGTCGGCCTGCCCTGTCGGCTTCGAGTCCGACGGACAGCCTCGCGGTGCCTCGCGGCCTCCGTGGCGTTGCGCCCAATGCCCAGGACGGCTGCCCAGGCGGGCGACCCGACCGGCCGGCCACACAATATATTATCTACTTCCTGCCCGTCCTGCCGCCGCGAGGACGGAGCCTCAGGACGCGTCGGATACTCACCACCTCCTGCATTCCAGCAAGTCTCGGTCATCCCGTCAGTTTGCACCCCATTGGCAACCTGCGGACGGAGAGACGGGCATGAGTACGGCGAGCACAAGGACAAGGCAGGGGGTCTGGATGGGATGGGGGCGCCACCTGCAGTGTAAGCAGTGCAGCCTCGCCCTCGTTCTGTCCCACTCGCACTCATGGGGCGTCCCGAAGGCCCGAAGGGGTGCGAGAGAGAAGTAGCGACGAGGCACCGTTAGGAATCAGTCTGCAGCTCGGGGTTGCGCGACAGCACGGGTGGGATGCAACTGCAGCGGTGAAAATCACATTCAAGGTCGGAATGGCAATTCCAGGACAATTTCCAGGAGAGAAGAGAAAATAGAAAGCAGGGAAACCTTAGACCTCTGAATCATACATGGCAAAAAAGGTTCCTAGTTTTTCCCAGGAACTCCCTGGAAATCGCCTATGCCCTTGCTGTAGGCTTCCTGGGAAAACCTAGAACCATTTTTGCAGTGTAGGACAAATGTACTCTCATGGGAAGGCGCTTGTTGGGCTACTGTCAAAAATAATTTGTCATCTCTTGGTCCAATTAACAAATGTTATCTTCAAGAGACTATGCTGATAAACCAAGTCAATGAAGAGTCTGCTGATCAACACCACCATGCTGAGAAAATTACCTCATGAAAATATTTTTGTTGTTTTCAACCGGCTACTACAAGAATAAACAAAACAAAAACCCAAGAAGTCCTTAGACTTTGAGCAAATATTTCCTAGCCCCTGCCCCCTCTTTCTTTTCAGCTGAGTGGCTTTATTGGTGAAAAATGAATGAACATTTTGAAAAGGGAGAGACAGCATAAGCAAAATTTTAACATTTTCAAGGACATTTTAAACATCAAGGAAATAAATGAAAATTGCTGGAATTTATTTAAATCCCAAATGATTGAGAATGACATCTTTTAAAAAATCAATGACTGGCAAAAGACAAAAAATCCTTTTGAATGAGAATAAAAGAAACAATCAAAAGCTAAATTCAAAATATTGATCTCATCAAACAAGAAACAAGCAGTGAACACAACTAAAAATGATGAAGCTACAAGTCAAATTTACAGTACAACGTATTAGTGAATTTAAATGCGACATATTGAAAAAAGTTTGGTTAGGATTGGGTAGAAACTGGACAGAAAAATGCACAATTGACCTCCTCCCTCCCCTTTCCAAAACACAAAAAAAAAAAAAAAAAAAAACAAACAAAAAACTGGAAAATTAGATAAAATGCCACAGCTTTAAAAATAGCACTCATTCATATTTTTGAGACTGATTGAGAAGCAAAACACTCATGATCAGACGGAACACATGATAGTGAGGTCAAAACAGGTCAGGACATAGACATGAAATAGATAGATTTAAGTAAATACAAAGAATGTGTAGTTGGAATGGTTTTAGCACAAATATTAAATTGTTTGAAACTGCGTAATATCTGCACTGAAAACCAGGATCTTAATAGTTTCTTCATTAATACCTCACTTGCTAAGTTGACACTATATCAATAAAAACAAACATTCTGTACACTATACGTCACTTAAATTGTAGTCTGAAATTTATTGGGGCCAATTTCAAGAAACAAAAGTATTTTCTGCCAGTTTGAAAAGTAGCAACAGGCACAGTCAATGCATGCAAAAAAATTTAGTCGTGCTCTGGGATCTCATTTGACTGGAATATCTAGTATGACCACAAAAAGATTAAAATCCACCATCTATAAAAAATATACCTTTCAGCCAGCCCCTGCCCAAGTGAAACTGAATTGATACCCAAATAATTGAATTACAATTTGCTGTTGCTGAACTGCCCACCGCACATAGTTGGCACAGAAAACAGTCCATTTTGAAGCTCTCCAGGACGGAACAGTTACTACACAAAAAAAACTAAATATACAGCCTACCTATATGGGCCTTCATGGCACCGTTTAGGTTACGGCCATCCTCGGGTCGGCTCGTCCCAACCTCGGCCATTCACTATTTAGCTTGTGGTTATACAGCCTAAGGATGGCTCTCGGCCTCGTTGCGCGAAGCTCAGATAAAAACGAAAAACACTCCACGGCCCGAATTACATTCTTCAGGTTAAAAGGAACCACAGGAAGCTAATCTCGGATCTGTACATATAGTAATGAAAGGAAAATCTGCCAAAAGACGGCAGCGCAACCGAGAGGCTAAAGGCTAAAGGCCTGCAAGGGATGGAAACAAGTCGGTCTCACTCACCTCCTTGGAAATGCTGAGGTTGGGATAATCCAAAGCTCGATCACCGCACCACATTCGTTTCTACCATGTCAACTAGACACAAAACACTACAGCAGGCCACAAATCACCAATCACTTTACAAAATTAAACCTAGGCCCGACTCACAGCCTTAAAACATGGCGGACGCCTGCCAACTTCGCCGATTAAATATTAATACTGCATGCTACCTCCCACCGTAAATGCACATAGTAGCCAATCTTCAGACACGTATGCAACAAAGCATTGTTGTAATCACCGGGCACTGGTGCAAACACTCTTTGGCAAAATAAACACGACGAGAGCGTTGCCGAAATACTTTAACGGTGGGCGTAGCCGAAACAAAGACAAGGCCCGTCGGCTCAATTTGCAATCCTCTGCTCGCAGCTCGCGGCGGCAGCGGCAGCGCTGCTCCGGCAACGGAACGGAACGGAACGGACTGGGCAGCGGCAGCGGGTTGGATCCCCCGCGTGAATGGTGTTGTACTACGGTAGGGGGCGCGTGCGAGGCGAGCCGAGCGCAACGAGCGGACAAGCGACACGGAGACGATGAAAGGCGAAAGGGAGCAAAGTAAACTTAGAACACACACTCTAGCGACTGGATTTCCCTTGAAATTCCAGCTCAACCCAAAGATCGGCATGAGTGGCGTGGAACTGACAACTGCGCCAAGTTCCCACCTGAGCAGGGGGAATCACTCGGAAAGAAGTGACAAGCGATCCGCCTGATAGTATCTCGGTGGCTTACGAACCACTTATCGCTCAACGTCTTTTCCGCACATGTAATAGGGAACTGGGGAGAGTAATTTGAGACGTGTCTATGTCGATGTGAATGTATGTCCACCCGTAGTGTTTGTTCACGATGACACCGGAGGCATGATAATTGGAGTTGATAGAGGGAATTACTGACAGGTATATTCCGTATTTTCGGATTGACTTTTTCAAAATTGAAATTTTTCTCAGGGCGCGTATTTTTGAGAGCTCAGCAAAAAAGAGTTTTACTGTTTATAACAAAAAATTTTAAGAGCAAACTGTCGCTTAAGCCAGGAAGGTCACAGGTTGACGACCGACGACCGCCACCTCTCTCCCTCCCCCCGTAGATTGAGGTTATCCCTGTTTACAACGCACTCACGCCGAGTGCTCGGCTTGCTTTGGCTCATTTAGCCCCTGGCACGAATTTCCAGAACCGTGCTATGTCGATCAGAGGGTCCAATAAATTTGTGACTTCGACGAAATCAAAACGAATAGATACAGAAATGGCCAGTTTCTGACACTACCTGTGGAGAGAAAAAAATAGAGCAAGAAGAAAAAGTCAAGAAGAAGCACGAAGTTCTCTCATCATCTGTATCTGTCAAACGAAAGGTGAGTTGAATGAGTGAATGAAAATCGTGATTTCGATAGTGCTCACGGCTGGATTGCATAGGGAATTTCTTTTCAAAGCATTATAGAAGTGTGGAATTATTGGAGTCCAGCAAGAAGCCAGTGAAATGCCTCGCATTGATGTGACCGAGGAGCGCTGTTTGCGAGCGGTGTTCCCTTTCGTTCGTTGTATTGCCCAAGCCTTTTCTGCTTGTTTGGAAACAATTAACTTCTCTTTTTATAAGTATTTTGCTTTTTTTTGTTTTGAATTTACAAAACACTGACCGTTTGAAAGACGAATTCACTCGAACGATATGGGTCATACACAGTCCTAACCTTTTTCTGTAATCCTTTGATGGTGAGGAAAGGCAGGTTTAAACTTTATAGCAGTGTTCTTTGTTTACTCTTGGTCTTACATCTTTCCAGTGTTCCTTCTCCCATTTTTTTGTTCATATCATTTCAGTGCTTACAATATGTATTTGTTATGCGTTCATCCATAAAACATCTTGACTTTTGGGTCATGTCTTTTAGGTCTACTCTATTAATATTGATTTGACTATGAACTTCCAAACAAGATGAATATAGCCTACCTATAAACTACTGCTGGACAGTTCATCTGAGTTGCTTAGCATGTGTGTTTTTTTTTAATAGTTGTATTTTGCTTTCATAGGTTAGTGGTTTTAATGGCGCTGTTACAAGAATCTCATGGCTGACGGGGACCAAAGGATCATGAGCCGCGGTGCCAGTCCTTCCAAAGATGGAAAACCTCCGTACAGGTTTGTCTTATAGTGTTTTTCAGCAGTTCCATGTTATCTTATCTTATACTCTACTTATCTTTCACTCTCGCAGTTTTGTTGTGTTTCCAATTTCTGATATAATTAACTGTGTTACAGCTATGCTGCACTCATACGCCTTGCTATTAGTAATGCCCCATCTGGGAAGATGACTTTGAATGAAATTTATCAATATATTATTCACGCTTTCCCATACTACAGAGCGATTGGAACAGGATGGAAAGTAAGTCACCTTTAGTGTTAGTCATCATTAGTTGCCATCTTTCCATAATAAATAATTTTTCTTCAAACAAATCCATTTTCAGAATTCCATCCGTCACAACCTATCTCTTAACAAATGCTTCACTAAAATATCACGTACTAAAGATGATCCTGGCAAAGGAAGCTATTGGATTATTGACTTCAACTACAACAATTCTGACGGTGCTGCTCGAAAAAAACGTCAACCATCCTCAGCCTCTGCTGTGGGAAGGGTAATATCTGATCATACTTGTTGGGATTTTATTTTGATGTTGTGTTAGCACTCTAATTTTGTAATTAACTCATCCTTGAAAACTTGTCTTTGCAGCAATTACCTGCGCCCTATAGCCCTGAATGCAGCAGCAATAGCAGTGACTTTGCTCGTCAACATACTGCTGTTGCGTCAAATGGAGATACTGGGCATGAGGGTACATCAGATAGCACTCTAGAAAGCTGTGTGCAGAACAACATCCCAACCGGTGCCGCTAATGGAAATGAAGACACTAAAGGTAAATTAAATATTGCATTCCTTTCTGTCATGGAGCAAAATTTCATAGAAGCAAACTCATCAAAAAGAATATTTTCATTTCATTTGCAGCATTTGATAATTTGCCAGAGGAGACACCTTGTGTGGATGACTTGGATTTATGTGATGAAAAGGAGCTGTCTGCTGTTTTAACTGGTTTGCTGTCACAATATGGAATGCTCCCACCAGGAGAATTGTCTCCAGGGGAGGCAAGCAACACTTTCCCTGATAGTGTTTCATCTCATCAAACCTCAGCCAGCACTCGAGATCAAAGTGAATATGTACAAGAGCCAGTGTCTAAATACTCTTCTGGTGCACAGCACGAGCAGACACAGGCTCCACTTGCTGGGATGGTGCACTCCCCCACACTAATGGAAGAGGAACCTCAAAATAAAAATCGTGTGGTTTGTGAACCAAAACATGTGACACAAGTGCTTCAATCCAGTGATCTTGAAAATCAGTGCAACTTCAGTTCAGGCTGTGGACTGCAAACATATTCTGAACAAAATCATTATTATGGAAGCAATTCTCATAATTTGCAGCCCAATCACCATCATATGCAGTCCAGCGTACCACAACACAGTTCAAGCTGGATGCAGCCGATGGATTACTACAACAACCAGTCAAATTATTTTAGTGCAGATAATAGAGCTGTTCAGTATAAATCGTATGGATCTCATTATTACCCACAAATGCATCAGCAAGTTAACAATAATTGTTCTCAATATAGTAACAATGGATATTGTGCCCCTGTTTCAACACACCCCTCATCAGGTTCGATAGGAAATTTTTCTCATCAAACTTCATGGCTCAGAAATGGTGGCGTAGATTGTAATTGGGAAAACACTCTCTAATATGTATTGTTATTAATACTGTAATTAGATATGTACCTCATTTGTTTGGTTGTGTTCATTGTGTAAGACTGAATACTGTTACTGTTTCTTTAGACCTCATTTCCCCACTGTCAAATCTTTACACTGTTAATTGTTACTGGGCCTCTGTAGACTTAATCCATCGTTATGTTTCCTCAAATTTTGTTTAATTTTCTGAGTAACTTTGTGTCATCATCTTAAAATGAGGTATGGTTTCAGAAACATTTTTCCTCTTTAACATGTTTAAAATTCGCAATTGATGACTATTTATATGATTGTGTTACCTATCTTGTGATGTCTAAACTTTGTTGTTTTCTCTATTATTTGTTTTACACAGATTGTTCTTTCTTTTTGTTTTTAAACAAAAAAAAATTATATTAGATAAGTTAGAGCATATTATCAGTTCAGCATCAATTAGAGTGAAAACCTTGGTTTAGGGTCTGTTGACGGCGGCGTGGACAGTAGGCTCGGTGTGCTTAAACCTTGACCATAACGCATGAATGAACCGTACTGCCGCGGACTCTGGACCACCTGTACGCTCATCCGGCTTGCTAGGCAAGAGCTGGAGGCTCACGCTGGACAGAGCCATTTGTTGAAAGTCCAGCCTCAAAACTTAGACCCTTGTGGTCTGCAAAGCAACAATAAAATTGGCTATCTTCTATCAAAATTTTCCCATTTGTCTTGAAGAATTTTCATGTTATTTTCCGTCTCAAAGACAGTATCTACACTTCTACTATTGTACGCAAATGTAAGGAAGTTTTGAGCATATGTGCTGTTATTTTTATTTTTCCTATTTTAAATCGTGATAGATTGAGATTCAATTCTCTTGTGTGGTTACCTTAACTTTTACTACCATTGTTAAGCTATTTTTAATGAAGTGCGAATTAAAGCATTTCTTTGTTGTGTAAGAAAGCTTGTTTGTCAGGAAAGTTATTTATCAACCATGTTGTTCTATTTATATCTTAGCATTTTCATCTAAGTTTATTTGTTCCTCAAGGAATTGTGAGTGTGTACTTAATGTGTTTGTTTCTCTTGTGGTTTCCCTTTCTTTCTTTCTTTCTTTTTTAATTTCTAAAAAGAAAGTTCAGTGACCAATAATAGATTTATCAATAAGATCTGGAGAATGTCACTATGTTCTCTTTATGTTAGTGCAATATTACTTCCACAGTCACCACAGTTAGTGTGAAGAGGCACGCAACTATCTCAAATCAAATCCAAGTAGGGATTTGGTTTGTTTGTTAATTGTACTGTACCAATTCTGCTATATTATTTGTGCTCACGCTCTTCATGTTAGTTGAATTTCAGAACTTTCCCTCCTCTAACTCTCTGAATTCAAAATGTGCAATGCCTTTTTAGTTGTTATAAATCAAGGGCCAATGATTAAGTTACTTTTTAAAATTTTCAATGTGGGCAGGCTTGTAGAATACATTTTTTTTTTTCTAAATGTGCTTATGTAATTTGTTTTAGTGGTAACTAAGCTTTGAATTTTATTTAATTGTAGTTGTTTAGCTCTTCATGTACAAGGTATCATGCATTGAATACTCATTTTTCCTTCAACCAGATTGTTGACTATGTATTTATACTGCTTTGAGTTGTAAATGTTCTGCAAATCAAGACTAAATCTGATATGGGATAACGAAATAGACGCATTGAGCTTTAAGGCAGTATTTACTTAGAGAACCGTTATGCTTTGTGTGAAATTCTTCTGGATTCCACTAAATTGTTCATTGTATACATTTCATAGCATGCTCAGCGTCACATTGTGTGTTGAATGTAGAATTGAAATTGCTATGTTATTACCCAGCTCTCTGGTTTTGTTTCAAAACTTTTTTAGTCTTACTACCATGCACAGCATTCGCTGATCTCATGCAACCTTCAATTGGCTACTACAGCAGAATGTACCTGAAAACTTGTTGTGTCTTCCTTCAGCACCTTGTCAATTGTTCCTGTGTTTAATTTTTGGAGATCATACTCTGGTCACTATCCCAACCGCTGTATGTTATATCCACCTTTTGTCTTAGTTCCTATTAGCTTTCCTTCAGTCATTTGCTCAATAATATTGGCTTCTCTGTGCCATTCTTAGGCTAAATTGTCGAGTTGGAAATAAATGTAAAATTCAACTAACATGTTTTGAATCCTCCAAAGCAAGAAACACATAATGTAAAAGAGCTTTATTGCACAACAAGACAAATTCAATACTTACATGGAATCAGGCATTGGCTGATTGCACTTAAAGCTATTTGTAAATAGATAAATTAATGGAATGGTATTTAGTGGAACAGCACAATTCTGAGCAACCATAAACAAACTATTCAAAAGATGACCTGGAAGCATTAAGGATGCACACTGACACTAGCAATTAAGAGCCAGCCTTGCCTTTTTCTGTCCATACTCTTCGTCACTGGCAGCCAAGGCAAGTTTGGTGAGCAAAAACGTTGGTTACTGTGCCGCAATACAAAATTGTAACAAAATCAGTAGATTAAGTAAAATATAATCATCAGTTCGACACTTTTGTATAAAATCCAGTTAAGAAACAGACCAAAATTTACAGACAACAAATACAAGAAAAAACAACTGATCCATGCATAAAACACAGCCAAATTACAACACAAAAACATTACAATTAAAATTATAATAAAACAACACTTCCCTCTACAAAAAAAAAAAGAACTAATACTTGGACATGGTACACTGCACACATTCATATGATAAGAAATGTTAAGTATGGAACTGACAATTTAGACTGATGATAAATTAAAGCTTCAACACCAAAACAGATGGCTGTGTGAGAACATGTGTAGGAGGAAGCCTACAAAACAACACCATAACAAATAAGTATAGACTTTTAACGTGGTTCCATCAATTAGTGATGCATAACTTCCTTTACCCAAAACTAACAATATTACTTCAAAGAGAGCAATTCTTGGATTGTTACCATGAACAAGAAAAATGAGTCTTTTGCATTTCATTGAAGGGAAAATATCAGCCATGTCATAGGGCTCTGCTGCTAACCACATGAATCTAATAAAATAACATTTAATAATATGATTAAATCATAGTGCATTTATTTCAGGTACATGTGCTGCAATTGTATAACTGCTTTCATAATCAGGTTACCTGGTAAGAATTGCATAAAATGTCGTATGGTTAGGAACCATTGAAATTCACAAATTAGTCAGGTTTAAACAAAAAACACTGATAAAATCAGCCAGATAATGTCAAAAATAATATTTTCTGACTTCTTTCATGAGTAGAAGAAGTTTAATTCAGAGATTCCAACTGACTGACTGTCTTTTTAAGATGCTTGGCCTCACAAACACAGCCTACAGGCTCTGAGAAAGTTAAAAAGTAAACTTTTTCAGAACCCGATGAGCATTAAATTTTATTTAAATATAAATTATTCATTTATAAATAGTGCAAGACATTTAATTCACAAAAACAAAATTGTAAAACCTCGCGTTGCCACATCATGGCATTGTTTAACATTTTTCAAGTAACATGATACCTAGAACCAGACGCTGGGTTTGGAATCCAAACCCACAGCTGAAGTGGATACTTGAAAGCCTTTTCACACTGGACTCAATTTTTCATCTCTATTTGCTGTGTTTGTCTGGCACTTCTACTCTGCACTGGAATGTACTGAGTTCTGCCTTTGCTCTCCAGATATTGATGTGTTTTCTGCTTCCTCTGATGCAAATTCAGCATCATCAAGCCCGGTGCCAGTCACCTGATTTGCTGTGAGATTGCTCCACCAGTTGGTCAGAGCACCTTTTGCTTGATTAATAGCTCCACCTATAAATTTAAAAAAATTAAAAATTTGAAGGTAGAATGCAAATTATCTTAAAATTCAAGGCTCTATAACGCACTTACCAACAACTTTGGTTGTTGAAGCTACAGCTTGTGTAACTTTCCTGCCCCCCTCTGTGTTTTGCATTGTACTGTAACAAAGGTAACATAATAAAAGCAAAGAATCTTAATCTATGAATGAGGCAAGGACATAAAGCAGAACACTTACTGGCTCACTCTGAGTTTTATGTCTGCTGCAGAGAGTTGTCCAGCAAATGGGTGACCAGGATTTAATTCTAAAATGCCATTATGATCAGAACCAAGCCATGCCTGATAGTTTGATGTACCTTTCCATGCTGTTACAAAGGCATTGTTGAATTGATCTATTTCTCTGCAACTCTCTGAAATTCAATTGAACTCAAATTGATCATCTATGTACACATATTTCAAACATGTAAAACACAGAGCAACACATAATATTACCTTGTAAAAGAGATGTCCGCAACAGGCATAAAAGATAGACACGAAACTGTGCCCTGATCCATTCATCCCCACCTTCCCAGCCAACTCCATCAAGGAAGACATCATGCCGCTCTTCTGCTACATGCCGCACAAGGAAGTCTGCAAATCGCAAATCTTCTGTTGTTAGATGCAACTGCCGCCTGAGAACTGGGTCTTGAGTTTCTAGCGAAGCTGTCTCAACCTTGAAAAGTATAATGGCCACTTAAAATCAGAGAGTTATAAACTTAAAGAAAAAGGAAAATACTGATAATTTTACCAACCTCAACCAAAACATCCATTAACTGTCGTTTCTGTTTAAATAAAACATTTGTGGCCCCTACTATATACCCACGGACATTTACATCAAATAGTAAATCCATATACGGTAAGGATAAATATGGTAAACATAAGTAACCCTGATAAAGAAAGGTATAAAGGGGGGTAGATTAATAGATTGAACAATAAAAGAAATGGTCTGAAAAAAGAAAAAAAAAATTCACCTTGGAAAATATTTGTAGGGGAGTTCCACATTCATCGGCATTTATTTGAGCAATGGCTGTAAGATTGTTCTGCTGTCGACTAGCCAAGTCATTACTTGACCAATCTCGAGGCAATGGCTCCATACCTACTAGTCCAACAGTGGATGTAGTAAGAGAGGAAGGGGCAGAAACTGCTGGAGTTTGGTTGTACTCCAACTCATCTTTGGCAGAAATATCCAGCCACTTGTTTTCATCTGTGGCTTCTGTTTGGCCTAAGTTTTCAGGCTGTTCATTATTTTCAGCTATGCTATTCCCAACTCCTGAGTCTGTAGAGCTCACATCTTGAGTAACAGATACTCTCTCTGAAGACACATCCTCATTGGCAACAGTCCTTTCAGCAAACTCTTTATCAGGACTATCTGCAAAGTGGGGTATAGGAGACAAGGGTCTAGACGGGCTGAAACAGGAAAAGTCAGAGTAAATTATAGAAAGATCACAGCAGAGAACAAATGAATCGTTGTAAAACTGACATTAACTTACCGCACACATGCAGACTCAGTCAAGCCCCTTTCAATCATTCCTGGATGCAAAGATAGCAGGGATAAAATAGTAGAACACAGCGGTTGAACAGGTGAGCGGTAAAACACAACCTTCCTCTCCAGCAGTAATAACTTGAAGAGGATAAGTGCTTTGTGACGAAACTGAAGTATGAGATCCCTTGTAGACAGCCCTGTAAGATAGGGTAATAGGGTATTTATGAAATAATTCAAGAATTAACTGATAGACAGTAAATAAGACAAAAGAAACACTGAGCATACCAACAAAGAGCTGTGGTGCTGACTGTAAATCATCAATTTGTGACAGGCAGGAATTGAGGTGATGGTAAGTGTCTTGCAAAAGAGACACCTTACTAAAATCACCTTCATCAAAATACGCATGTGTAATAAGCTCCATCTTCACTTGAATGTGACCAAAAAGAGGGACATCACTTAACACACAAACTGACTTTTGAACTGTCCCTCTTGTCATGTCAGGGGTGCGTTGCTTTAATTTCTAGAAAAAAAAAAAATTAAACAAAAAACAATAGATTTGTGATGCACATACCTGTCTTTTAATTTTAGAAATATTATATCACGACATACCTCTACAGGAATTTGCCTGAAGCATGAAATGCCATAGACTGTCTTTCGTGGGTGGGTGAGACTAGGGAGGTGAAAATACACAGTATCATCATCGTAGTTGTGTGAACCGTCAGGTAGGGCTAAGGTGGGGAGGTACTTCCACCCTGGGGGGCATTCTGTTTCGTCCTTGGAGCCAGGTACCAAAGGAGGGAAGGAATATTCTACCTAAATCAGAGAAAATAACGAGTGCCGTTAGGTTAAGCTGTCTGACAGGTGGAGGAGACCTCCTACTGTTTAAAACATGACTGTGCATAGAAATGACTCATATGTCATCAGTCAACAGAATGATGTCAATAAACTAGTGTGACTCAATCACAAGTCATCTCAGAAATCTCAGAAATAGATTAAATGTCAAAACCAAGTACCTGTCAAACAAAAACATTCAGCTGAGAAACTCAGTTTCATGACAAACGTCAGGGTGACTCACCCCCACCTTGTCAAGTTTTACATACCTGGCATCCTTTCTTGTGATGAAAACCAACCACTAAGACGTGTAAAATAGGATTAACAAGGTGAGATTGCTGCTCAGAAGCACCATCTCCCTCTTCCATGTCGGCCATGTTTGTACATACGCCTTGTCACACTGCGCATTTGCATTTCCGTCTGCCTTTGCTCCTCCCCTCACTTCCCCTCTTGTGCCCACGCTGTCTAGCAGAAAGCTTCTTCCAATTTCCAATCTATTGGTTCAAGTTCCAATATTTCCAGCAGGAGGCATTTTAACGGCGCAAACCTGTGCGAGGTACGGGGCATATCCATGGCGAGCATACCGCCAGTGATGCTTACTTTACCAGAAGCACAGGAGGAATTCCATGACTTGTTACGAAAACTCAGGGACCCTCATAACCAAAGGAAACTCATTGATTGGATTAAGTACAACTGGAGAGAAGGTATGGGTGACTATTTTCGATGTTACATTGAATTGTAATAATGTATAATGTTTGTGCATGCATTGAGTGAACCTACCTCTAATCTGTTCATGTCTTTCCTAGATGATGATGAGTCTCCTGAAGGTATATTGAGATCTATAGCCACTGATATTAGACTTCATTTGCCAATTGAAGCTGTGCTTCCATCTGAAAAAATCATACCACCATCCTCTGGTGAAGTAAGTGTTTCATTCTTCATCGTTATTGTTACGCTCTTGATAGCTATTGTAACAGGGAAGGGGGACATATGGCTCCGCCACTACTAATGATGTTTTTAATTTACCGTTTTTCAGAATGCTGATTGTGATCCTAAATATACCCGACATGTAGATTCATTCTTATATGACAATGGACTGTTGCATGAGTTGACTGCCAAAGGTGTGATTGAATCACATTACTGTGTGCAGTGCGGGTCTACTAAAACAAAATCACTTAGTAAGCAATTTAATTAAAATCCACCCCTGCATCCAGTTCCTGTATCCAGGAATCCTGTACTGTATTCCTGTACTATTGCCTGTTCCAACGCTAATTTACTTGGTTATATTTCAGCATTTATATCCCATTCTGCTTCTCGATCTCAAATATCCTATATGTACAATGTTTTGCTACCTCCTTTAGAGGATGACAAAGTGTTGTTGGATGTTGGTTCTCGTCTGGGACCAATCTTATATGGGGTAATAAGGATGTTTTTGTTTCATCCTCTACTTAGAAAGTTCTCTTTCAATAAATTATATCTACTTATACTTTTTTTTCTTTTCTCCAGGCATATTTGTATACAAATGTAGGGAAAATATATGGCATTGAAATAAATGGAGAACTTTGCAGGATGCAGAGGGAGATTGTAATGAAGTATGGTTTCCAGGTGAATAGTAAATTTTAAGTTTTTTTTTATTCTGTGAATTTTGTAAAGTTTTCTCATTGAACTGATGTTTTTAAAACTCCTTTCGCTTTCTGTGATCCGTAGGACCGGATTGAAATCATTGACAGCAGCATCGAACAACGTTTTGACCTGCTGGCAACAGCTGACATAATTGTCTTGAATAATGTGTTCGAGTTTTTTATGGAATCAAATGATCAAGCGAAAATGTGGAAACTCATTTATGAGCATGTGAAGAAAAAGGCTCTACTAGTTACATGTCCTGCCCTGGATGTTACCATGGAAAATTTGCCTGTATGTTTAGTACTGTGCTATGTTGCTTCTAGTTTTAATTCACTTCCAATTAATGTCTTTCTTATTTTTTTTAGGGAATTGGGATTGATTTGGATAAATGGGTTCAAGAATTGGATGTATATAACATGGATGCTCCAGACATGCCAACTGATGATCCTGAATTGAAGATGATACATCTTTATGAGGTTACTAACCCAGGGAAGAGTAACTGATAGAAGCATTCCCAACCCAAAGATTGTACATTAGATGCATGTTGTTTTGTTCTTATGTTGGGTTCTTCTTAATTCTTCTTCAGTTTTGTTTTGCATTTTATTATGTTAAGATTTTGACTGGTTTTTTACTTGATTTGTAAGGCTCTAACATTTCCTAAAACATTCTAGTTTTAAGAGAGATGTATGTGTCTTTCCTCTACAAAGGAAATATTGATGAGAAAAGGATCGGACCATTGAATCCTACCCCTTTGATGGTAGTAGAAAGGCTTTCTACAATGGAGAGGTACTGTAGTATATTCCAAGTGATGAATGTGTTAAGTGAATGTTCCCCCATGGAATCCAATCTTAGACAAAATGTGCAAATGTGACAACATAAATTATTTACAAGTCAATCATTTGTTCTATCGAGTATAGTATGAGAGTTGGAATGTGTTTAAAACGTGTAATTGCAGTAAAAGTGCCACAAGTTATTAAAATGTTTTTTGGGAAGATTCTTTTTAATGCTTTTGTAACTTAACTTATTTTTACTTATGCTCTGACATCTTCCAAACAAAAAAAAAAAACAAAAAAAAAAACTGGGTTTTACGGTTACATTCAAACTTTGCAGCTTAGTTGAAGAAACAAGTTTGGGTAAAATAAAATTCATAATCCTATGAACAGTTATACATAAAGTCTCACTTCCATTTAATGAATTCCATTTGAACGTGTACATGAATCATGTACCAAAATAACTTAAATTGACCATGGAAGAAAAACAAAAATCTGTCAGAAAATACACGCAAACATACATATTTACACCTATCAAACAACAGAAGTAAAAACACAATTGATTTGAATGGAAATAAAATAAATCCATTCCTCTGTGGGAGCGACTATAGTCATCAATAATAAATAAAAATAGTGTTTTTGAGTGGTATTAAAATTTAAGTAAAAAAAAAAACAAGAGTGGTTAACAATCAGAAAAGAAAGCAAAAGACCAAACAATTTATTAACAATGGCTAAAAGGTACTCTCAACTTCCGAGCCTGCTGAAAACATTCGAACGAACAGACACCTTCCCTGGCGTATTTTCAAATGTTACCCTCTTAAAAGAACCACTTGCACTGCCATTTAATCTAGGTACCTCAATCCTCGGAACCCTCTTCACACTAGCAACCTGAAAATATTAGAGAAATTAAAACATGCAGACTATAACACTTAATGTGAAGACCTCAAACCAAGAGTTGAACTATTACCTGAAGTGATCTGGGGGGGTCATCGACACCAAGTCTGGATTTCACTGTGCGATTTACATCATTTTGGTTTCCAGCTGAAGATAAAAAAGAAGTCTTAATTGCATTAAGAAGTGTTGCTACAAGAAAAAATAGATCAGAAGTCACGTACCAAGTATGCCCGCTGTCCTCACTCCTTGAGTCCTTTTCATAAGAGGTACAACTGTTGCCACCCGTTTAACTTCAGTTGCTTGCTTAGGAGCAAACACTGCAGAAGATGATCTCTTCAATCCATACTCTTGTTTAGGAACAGAAACAAAAGTGGCAGAACGTTTCACCACAGTCACCTCTTTCATGGTACCTATCCTACTTTGAACATCTCGATTTGTACTAATCACTGAGTCAGCAACCATAGAGGAAGTCTCTGTGAAAAGAAAATCAACAATAAAATAAAATAATGAAAGTGAAACAAACCCAGACACAACTTGGAATATTTGGACATACTTTGAACAGGAATAGGAGCCTTTGACACTGGCTTTGAGGATACATTTTTTAATATGCCAGCAAAAGGGAGAGTCCCTTCAGCAACTGCCAAGGCAGATGTAGATGAAACTTGCTTGTCTCCTAATCTGCTGAATACTGAGGAAGCCTGCTGAAAAATGCATAACAAAACTTAGCATCGCACACATTTCTGATATCTAACTTAAGTCCCAAAATTTATTTGATTTATAATTTTTATTACCTTGGCCTTCTTGGCAGCTTCTAGGCCCGTGACAGTGAAAGTTGGGTCAGAGGTAGTACTTGATACAGCTGCAGTCAAGGGATCAGCCCCAGGAGAAGTAGATCCCCCTAACCGATCAAAAACTGTCTTCTTGCTTGCAACTACAAAAAAAGCAAAAATAAAATATGTATTAGAAAGAATTTTTTACATCAGTACAACGCTAGAAAATAAAATTATTACTTACTTTCTTTTTGCTTGGCAAGAATCTGTTGGCTCCGAGGGGTTGATCCTGATGGCATCTTGATTTTATATCCACCTTCATGTTCAGGAAGAACACGGCGAACTTTTTTGATTGGAACAGGAACATCCTCATTTTCAAGCCGTTCCACTGATGGCTTCGGCCTAGATATTTCAGCAGCTCTTCTTTTGAGTGGCTCTGGAAGTCATCACAGAGAAAAGTCCCGTCTCAATGTTTTGCATTTAATGGTGAATTAAATTAGTTGTGTGATAATTGTTTTTGGGCAATCGCAGGCAACAGGCAAAACTTTTCCAGCACCCCTCTAGCCCAAACATCATGTTTGTCCTGGCTATCTATACCCTAAATCAAGGCTTGGATTGAGAGGAGATAGTATGGACAGTCTCCTGAATAAAAAAATATGGGGCCATTCAAACTCACCTGCTGGAGTGACTACTTTCTTGGCCGGAAGCTTCACAGATGCCAGTGTCTGTGACGAAGAACTAGGACCTGCACTGCGTCCAGACAATAACGGCTTGGGGTTGGGATCAGATATACGGGAGGACACTGAGCAGATGAAAAAAATAACAATTAATAAAATGTTAACACATATTGGTTCCAAGGATGATAAAATGATTTGCAAGTTACTCACCAGATACTTTTTTTGGCGGTGAAGGAGTAGATGAAGATTGTGACGATGAAGAGGAAAACGAACTGCTTGATGAACTTTCTTTCGGTGCAGGTTTCACAACTTTCACAGTTTTGAGGGTTTTGGCTGAAGGTGAAGAGCTGGATGTGTCTCTGAGATTCGTGACTGGCTTCACTACACTACTCGGGCCTTTGGCAGATGACAGCAACTTTTCATGGGTGAGCTATGAATAACATTCACATTAGAAACAGCAAAAGTTAAATAAGGCTACAATGAAAAAAAAGATAAGAGAGTTCTGAATAAGATGCGAACCTCTTCGTGTACTTGACGAGCATGGCGCAGTATGGCAATAACATCTCCCATTAAAGTGATACCCATGTCTCGAAGGTACTCTTTGTTGAGGTCAAGGAGCATATCCAACTGTATGCGATTATCAGAAAATGTAAGAGCATATGTCGCCGCAGCGCGTGGTGGAATGCCCGCTTTGGAGAAAAACTTGATCCATTTTTCTGAAAACAACAAATGTAATAAATCGGCGTAGTAGTAGTAACTTCGTACATAATAAACATAACCTAAGATGCTGCTGTTCACAAAGCCAAAAAGTCCACTAAGACAGCGAGGTGGCTAGAGGCAAGCGTCACATTGTTCAAAAAAATAAGGAATTAATGGAAAGAGGAGACCGAAAGCTGTTCAAAGGCCTTTGTAGAATACTGACTGAAGAACTAACATTCCTGCCGCATCTCAGTGCAAAAATAAAGTGGGGTCGAATAGTTCACAAGTATATCTTGAAAGAAATAATGTAACTTATTCAAAAGAAGCGAAACTTACCCGTACTAACTTCAGCCATTTTCAATTTAAAATGCCCTTCGACATACAAAAATAAATATAAATAGTATCTGAGCTTCTTCTTTTCCTAACTCGACTGCAAGCGCGGTTTGCGACCTACGTTGAAAAAAAAATGCAAGGCAGACCCGACCCCTGTGCGAGACTACTTTTATGGAAAATTCATGCAGTTTCCCTTTTCGGTTTCACGGCAGCCAACCTAAACATCACGGAGATTCGAAATTTACTTATTTTCCTATTCCTTTATTCCAGGAGATACCGAAAAAGAACCGATTGGTGTTTTCTGCAGCCAAATCTCTAAAGATTGGAATGTACAATCTTGTATAAAGCGTCCGATTATAATCAAATGTATTTGACATTGGAGTAGTGTTGCGGAATGTTGTACTGAGTGCATTGAAATAAACCGTTTCCTTTTGGCTTTGAAGTGCTAAATGTCTGAAACTCTGAACTTGAAACGTCGACTGACTGTCCTAAGGATCAGCCAATGCCTCTGTTTAAGGTGTTCCATTCAAATTCGCCTACTGTCGGCTTTCAAAACTCGTCCTTGTTGAGCACGAATTTTTTTGAATTGAAATGAGTTAGGAACTGCCCAGATACTTGGTCCGCGTGCGAATGGTGTTTCAGCACAGACAGCCAAGGCGGCCAATGCATGGCACGTTCGAGCTAGTTCGAGCCGACCCAACCCAGCTGCTGCCGCCTCCGCCACCACCACGGAGCGAGTCACCGCCGCTACCGCGGGGTGCTGTCGGTACCGTCTGCAAATTGGCAGAAGAGGGGAAAGGGGAGGGGTGTCTTTATTTAGGCGTTTCGTCTTGACCTTGAGGCGAGGCAAGCTGACTCTGTGGCAGTGAGAGTGAGGTGAGGTAGCTATGCAAGACCCAGACCGGAGTGGAAGCCCCGGCCCCTCCGGCCCCTCCGGCCCCGCTATGGAGGGTGGAGGGGGGAACAGCTGAGCGTAGCTGCGCGCGGCGTGGCGGTGTCGGGGGCGCGGAGGCACGGCCGCGGGGCGCGGGCGCGGGGGCGCGGTGGGGCGCGGCGTCCCGGCTCTGCCATGGCTCCGCTGCGGCTGTGTCGGGGACTTTCTCTCTCTGGAGAGCGGCCGGGCCGACTCGGCCCGTCTCAGCCGCGCGCAGCCACGCTCAGTTCAGTTCTGCCCGGAGTGTCTGCAGCACGTGTAGACCGGCCCGCGACCCGCGACCGCCCCGCGAGTTCCAGCAGCTGAGTGCGTGATCGCGCCTCTGCTCGCGTGCGAGTGTGTGCGTCTGTGTGTGTGTGCAAGTGGAATTCGCCCTTCTTCATGTGCATGTGCGACGCTGCAAGATGAGGAGGCGACGATGGTTGTGGGTGGTGTTGCTAGTGGCGAGCGCGTCTCGCGTGCTGGTGGCCGCGGACGAAGGCGCCGCCGGGGAGGCGCGCGAAGGCGAAGCAGGACAAGAGGAAGGCGAAGAAGCCCCGCCGGCTCTGGGAGAAGGTACGTCAGGACGCGTCGGGCAACGGCGTGGCGCGCACGCCGCGCACGCCGCGCACGCCCCGCACGCCGCGTGCATGTTGTGAAAGCGTCACACCTCCCCGCGCCGCGTCCGCCGCGTCCGCCCGCAAGGCTGGCAGGGCCCGGCCGCCAGGTCCGCCCCGTCCGCCCCGTCCAGCCCCGCGGACCATCCTCAATGTACTCGGTACTCGCAGCCCGCCCGGTGCGGTACCCCCGGCACTCCCCGCCCCACCGCGGGTTCGGCATTCAGCATTCGGCACCGCGGGGTGCCGCCGTGCCGCCGCGGGCCACTCCGGATAGCGCCCCGCGTCTGCCTTGCCTTCTGCGACCGTCTGCGACGGGGAAGGCCCGGCCCGGCTGGGCCCGGCGTGGTGCCGGTGACATGTCGCCGCGCCGTCGCCTTTCTCCACGACGTCGCCGGGGAGCCGTTTTGAAGGTCGCCGCCGCCGAGGTTGTTGTTGTTTGGTTGTTATTGTTGTTTTGCTCGTTTTGAAATGCCGCGCGCCGAGTCCATGTCTGCCCCGCCGCCGCGCGTTTCCGCCCCTCTTGTTGTTGTTGGTTTTGATTTCTGGGCGTGCGGTAATTGGGAGCAGGATTATCGGCGCTGCCATCTCGATGCCATCTGGTGGATGCAATTTGTTGCAGTCAGGGACTGGGTGTCCGCCGTGTCCGCCGTGTCGTGCCTCGGCGTTATGTCGCTCTGTCTCTGTCGCACCTGCACTGGGCGCCTCGCGAGTGCAAGAGAGACAGAGCGACGACGACAGCGATGCGTGGAATCGGTCGAAATTGCTCTCCGAACAAGGAATCCATTAGTGGGGTTACACGCTCGGTTCGAGTCCCATTCAGCGACTGGAGCTCAAAACGCGTCTAGAGTTTTGCCCACCTCCTCCGGTCTTCTGGCCCACCGTGGAGCGGCAGCGCGTCGGAACGGGGAACGAGGGGCAAGGAACGCACCCCGAGGCGGCGCGACCAATCAGGGCGCCGCGTGCGTGATTTATTAGCGTAATGCGATGGCGGGCAGGTCGCGAAATGAAATGATTGCACGGAACGGTTTGGCGTTGGCGCGCCTCGGGGCACGTTCACGCACTTTGCCACCATCCGCCACCGCGTCGTCGTGTTTGTACACTCTCCGACCCCCACGCGGCGCGGCGCTGCAAACAGGCGGCAAACTCAAACAGCGTATGATTCACGCCTCGACCGCCAGGCAGCGCCACTCGGCGCGGCGGCACGGCACGCTGGAATTAGGTCAAATATCTTGGACACTACTTCACGTCGTCGGGCGCATAAAACGGCGCGGCTTGGAGACTCGCCACGCACAACAGCAACAAACAACGCGCGCCGACAACAACAAACAGCAGCAACAAACCAGCCTCGCGCGTGGCGGAGCGTGGCGGGCGGCGCGGCTTGTTAGCGAGGCTAACAGGTGGGGCGCGAAGCGCGAAGCGAGCGAAGGGACGACGCGCCGCGCCTCGCGCCTCGCCTCGCCCGCCTCGGGGTAACCTAAGCGGCAGGCAGGCAGGCTGCAGTGCCGGAGTGCATTGCCCGGGAAGACGAGCATTGTGCAAGCAGCGCCGTCGTCGCGGTGCGTGCAGTGCAGCCAGCGCGGCGTGCATTCGGGCCACCGATCCGACGAGACGATCCGATGCACCAGCCAGCCGCGTCGCCGCGCCGACACCACCACGCTCTGGAGTGACACGCAGCAGCCTGACTCCGGGGAGGCGTTTCGTCGCTCTGCCTCTGTCGCACGCTGAGGGGCGGTAGGGATGCGAGAGAGACAGAGCGACGAGAGGACTCTTCAGAATCAGCCCGGCGGACTTCCCTGCCACCGCGCAGTCACCGCGAGCGACAATCTGTGCCGACGCCGACGCACCGCACTGCACCGCACCTCCGCGACCCCACTGAAAGGCTTAAAGCTCGCCGAGGTCCGCCGGCTTTACGAGCGAGACTCATAATCGTTTGCCGCGGCGGACGCAGGCGGACGCTCCCCGAGGCAGGATGTGACCAATGCTGCTGCAGGTGAGCTGGCGGTGCTGGCGGTGCTGGCGGGGTCGGCGGGGCTGGCCCAGATTTGGTCAGGTTTTATAAAGGTCGCCGCGGGTCGGCTCGCCGAGCGCATCCCGGAGTGCGTGATGAATGTATGCAAACGCTTTGCACTCGCGTCGTGCCGCGTCGTGCCGCGCCGCGCCAACGCGGCCCTGGACGCCGAGCGAGCCGCCGAGCCGACGGACATGATGGAATGGGACATGACGGGCCCGCCAGCGCCGCGCCACCGCGCCTGTCGCCGGCCAAGCCTATGGGGTCGCGAAGCGCGAAGCTACCGGTATTTATTAGGTCGGCTAGCATGCCGCCAGTACCAGGCCGCCAGTACCAGGCCGGCTACTCCACTCGGGCCCATAATGTCGGCCGCGGTGGCATTTAGCACCTGCGGCCTGCGGGGAAAGGGCAGCCCGGGCCGATATGCAAACACGGGGCAAGCCGGGAGGCCGGCCATGCCACCGCCATGCCGCCGCCCGTGTCCCGAAACAGGACTCGAGTCCAACTCACCGACAGATTCCTCGCTCCAAGGGCAATCCGACGGTACCACCAACGCCGTCCTTCGAGTCCCGTCTGAGGAGCGGAAGGGCTGAAGTTGGTGCCGTGTCCGCTGTGGCTGCGGCGGCGGGTTGTGATCTGCATTAACAACAAAAACAACAACAACGCTGCTCGCGTCGAGAGAGATAGTGATAGTGAGGCGGACATTCCTGGGGCGGGAGGAGGAGCGACGAGGGACGACAAGGGAAGGAATCTGCATGCGCACCTTGGCCTACAGTGTGCCTGCAGCCAGCCTGCAGCCACATGCATGGAGGCGCGCGCATTTTCAGTTTGCCTCCGCGCTGTTTATTGCAACACTTACTGCTCCTCGTCCAGTCGGCTGGAACGGCGCGGCCGCGGCGCGTAGAATTTCCTTTTCGAGCGCCGTGCCCCCGCGAGGTACCCGCGAGGTACCCGCCAGGCCCATTACCCACTACATCCCCGAAGAGTTATCGTCCCCCGCCGCCCGCCCGAGCGAGCAGGCGACGCCGGCGACGCGACGATTAATTAAAATGTTAATAATCCCCGGACGGTCTCTTGAACGAGCTCGTAAAAGGGACGTTTCATAACATTTGCCAACTCAAGGCTGCTGTTTGCTTTTCTGTCAAATGGTTGACGAATGCCCTGCTGTTGTTGTTTTTGTTGATATTGTTATGTTTTTATTTTTTTCCTCGAACGGGTTGAGCGCACTTCCGGCGCAGACCACGGCTCCACTGCCAAGGCCCGTCTGCGTGCTGCCGCGTGCCGCGTGCCCTGGTTCTCATTTCGGCTGCCGAGTGACTGAGTCGACTGAGTGAGCGACGAGCTGCCACGGCTTGCCCCAGCCTTGTCAGGGGATCCATTACGAACTGGATGGCCCGGTCTCTATTAAATATGTCTAGCCGCCGCCAGCCGCCCGGACGGCACAGCTAGACCGGACCATCCCGCCGCCAATTTGCATAAAGTGCATACGGACCCTGTAATCAGTCCCCGCCTGTCGTTTTATTGCGATCCATTCGCACCAGTACGCACGTCCTAGTCCGGTATTATTTTTTTCTTCTTCTTCTTGAAAAATTACCCAAGGTTGATTTCCTCCGAAGATAACTGCAACCTTGTTCGCGACGCGGCACGCCACTGGAAGCACGAAGGTTTTTTTTTTCGGTGCACCTTTTGGCACCTCCCGCGGCTGATATTATTTTGGCAGGTCTTTGTAAGGCTGCGCGCCGCACGGCCTGGCCGCCGTGCCGTGCCGAGCCGCGCCGCGCCACGCCAGTCTGCATCTTTCTTTCTGGCGGACATAATAGCCTAACCTCCAGCACCTTAATGGCGCCGCAATAGTGACGCCGAATAGGCCAACTGGGCCAAGCACGCGTCCAAGGACTCGCCCTCCAGCGGCAGGCCGGGCAGGCCGCGCAGGCCGTCGCCGCGGTGCCCGTCGTCGTGATCGTCATCGTCATGCCCACCAGCAGCAGGCCAGCAGCAGGGGAATTGGACATACCCCACTCATTTGGCGAGCCAGCGCTCTGGTTTATGGAACGAACATGGCGCTCAATTTCGAGAACTGCGGCGCGGCGCGCGGCGGCCGCGCTAACTAACGCACCGCGACACTAGAAATGCCGCGAAGGGGTTGGACGTGGCCGCGGCCGGGCCGGCCGAGCTGGCCACAACGGCAGCCAATCAAAATGCCGGTAATTACACTGCGTTTCTTTCTCGCGGCCTGGAAAGACCGCAGCGACACACACACACATGCGCACACACACGCTGACTGGTCAATCGTGGTCACGGCGCGCGCTCTACTTGAGGGCACGAGATAGCGGTGACATGTGAAGTGGCCTGCTGGGCCCGCTCTCGATTGACCGCCGATACCGGTGGCGCTGCTTCACGTTCGCGAGGACCGTTCGAAGGACGAGGGACCGCGACGTCAGTGTAGCGACCTAGTCTCGCGGCCTCGCCGGGACGGCCGAGGACGGCGCCTGCAAGCCGAGCCTGGGCACGCCCGTCGAGCGCGGCAGTGCGCCGGGTTGCCTTCCCTCAGCCTGCAGGCGGCGGGGTAGGCCGGCCCGCGGTACACGGACGTGCTGCGGGAGGGCCTGGGCCGCAGGCGGCAGGGTCGGCCGTCCCGTGGTAAGGTTATGTGCCGCGGGTACGCCATCGCAGCAGGCGCTCCGCTCGACCAGTCGGTCGAACTTCTACTAGGTCGAGATGGAAAAAAAAGAGCGACTTATTGTTTTGCCTTGCCGGGCCGATGGCTGCCGGTGGCTGCCGGTGGCTGGCGACGGCGGCCTTCTTCTTAACGTCCGCTGCCCGTCGATGGGCTGGACGGGTACGTCACCGCCCTCGCTTCATGGCGGTAATCGATCCTGATTGGGGCAGTGGCGTGAGATAAATCAGTAGCGGAGCCGCCACCACGCGGTGCGCGAAAAAAAAACAAA